AGTCTACCAAACATTTTAAAAAAGAACTCAAAACATACCTTTTTTAGGAAATATTTTGATTAACTCTTAATTGGTTTTATCAATCTTGTATTAATTGCATTTAATTGTATGGAATAATGGCTGTTTTACCTAGATTTTATTCATGATATTTTATGTAGTATTATTTATGATATTTTATGTAAAGTCTACTGAACATTTTAAAAGGATTTTAGACTTAAAATAAATTTATTATTATTAGGCACAGGAGGTCCACCAGGTACAGGAGGTCCACCAGGCACAGGAGGTCCACCAGGTACTGGAGGCCCACCAGGTACAGGAGGTCCACCAGGCACAGGAGGACCACCAGGTACTGGAGGCCCACCAGGTACAGGAGGACCACCAGGCACAGGAGGCCCACCAGGAACAGGAGGTCCACCAGGTAATTCGCAATCAGTTGTCTGACTGCTGCAGCCACAGTCATAAATTGTTTAGTTACATCTCGATTAGATAACTGCAACTCCATTTTATACGGTTGTCCAAAGAAACAAATTGCCAGACTGCAGCACATTCAAAATATTTCGTCCAGATTATTAACTCGGACATCCACAAGCAAACACGTCTCCCAAGTTTTAAAAAGTTTACACTGGCTACCTCTACAAGCCAGAATTTTATTCAAAATTTTAGTTTTTACTCACGATGCTTTTTATGGATTGGCACCAATCTACATCAATGAATTAGTTAGTCACTATGTTCCAATGCGAAATCTGCGGTCTGTAGACCAATTGCTACTCAACCCAGTAAAAATGCAATTAAAAACCTACGGTGACATATCTTTTAAAGCTGCAGGTCCAAAGGAATGGAATCTATTACCGCTGGAAATCCGAGCAATTCAGTCTACCAAACATTTTAAAAAAGAACTCAAAACATACCTTTTTTAGGAAATATTTTGATTAACTCTTAATTGGTTTTATCAATCTTGTATTAATTGCATTTAATTGTATGGAATAATGGCTGTTTTACCTAGATTTTATTCATGATATTTTATGTAGTATTATTTATGATATTTTATGTAAAGTCTACTGAACATTTTAAAAGGATTTTAGACTTAAAATAAATTTATTATTATTAGGCACAGGAGGTCCACCAGGTACAGGAGGTCCACCAGGCACAGGAGGTCCACCAGGTACTGGAGGCCCACCAGGTACAGGAGGTCCACCAGGCACAGGAGGACCACCAGGTACTGGAGGCCCACCAGGTACAGGAGGACCACCAGGCACAGGAGGCCCACCAGGAACAGGAGGTCCACCAGGTAATTCGCAATCAGTTGTCTGACTGCTGCAGCCACAGTCATAAATTGTTTAGTTACATCTCGATTAGATAACTGCAACTCCATTTTATACGGTTGTCCAAAGAAACAAATTGCCAGACTGCAGCACATTCAAAATATTTCGTCCAGATTATTAACTCGGACATCCACAAGCAAACACGTCTCCCAAGTTTTAAAAAGTTTACACTGGCTACCTCTACAAGCCAGAATTTTATTCAAAATTTTAGTTTTTACTCACGATGCTTTTTATGGATTGGCACCAATCTACATCAATGAATTAGTTAGTCACTATGTTCCAATGCGAAATCTGCGGTCTGTAGACCAATTGCTACTCAACCCAGTAAAAATGCAATTAAAAACCTACGGTGACATATCTTTTAAAGCTGCAGGTCCAAAGGAATGGAATCTATTACCGCTGGAAATCCGAGCAATTCAGTCTACCAAACATTTTAAAAAAGAACTCAAAACATACCTTTTTTAGGAAATATTTTGATTAACTCTTAATTGGTTTTATCAATCTTGTATTAATTGCATTTAATTGTATGGAATAATGGCTGTTTTACCTAGATTTTATTCATGATATTTTATGTAGTATTATTTATGATATTTTATGTAAAGTCTACTGAACATTTTAAAAGGATTTTAGACTTAAAATAAATTTATTATTATTAGGCACAGGAGGTCCACCAGGTACAGGAGGTCCACCAGGCACAGGAGGTCCACCAGGTACTGGAGGCCCACCAGGTACAGGAGGTCCACCAGGCACAGGAGGACCACCAGGTACTGGAGGCCCACCAGGTACAGGAGGACCACCAGGCACAGGAGGCCCACCAGGAACAGGAGGTCCACCAGGTAATTCGCAATCAGTTGTCTGACTGCTGCAGCCACAGTCATAAATTGTTTAGTTACATCTCGATTAGATAACTGCAACTCCATTTTATACGGTTGTCCAAAGAAACAAATTGCCAGACTGCAGCACATTCAAAATATTTCGTCCAGATTATTAACTCGGACATCCACAAGCAAACACGTCTCCCAAGTTTTAAAAAGTTTACACTGGCTACCTCTACAAGCCAGAATTTTATTCAAAATTTTAGTTTTTACTCACGATGCTTTTTATGGATTGGCACCAATCTACATCAATGAATTAGTTAGTCACTATGTTCCAATGCGAAATCTGCGGTCTGTAGACCAATTGCTACTCAACCCAGTAAAAATGCAATTAAAAACCTACGGTGACATATCTTTTAAAGCTGCAGGTCCAAAGGAATGGAATCTATTACCGCTGGAAATCCGAGCAATTCAGTCTACCAAACATTTTAAAAAAGAACTCAAAACATACCTTTTTTAGGAAATATTTTGATTAACTCTTAATTGGTTTTATCAATCTTGTATTAATTGCATTTAATTGTATGGAATAATGGCTGTTTTACCTAGATTTTATTTATGATATTTTATGTAGTATTATTTATGATATTTTATGTAAAGTCTACTGAACATTTTAAAAGGATTTTAGACTTAAAATAAATTTATTATTATTAGGCACAGGAGGTCCACCAGGTACAGGAGGTCCACCAGGCACAGGAGGTCCACCAGGTACTGGAGGCCCACCAGGAACAGGAGGTCCACCAGGCACAGGAGGCCCACCAGGTACAGGAGGTCCACCAGGCACAGGAGGTCCACCAGGTACTGGAGGCCCACCAGGTACAGGAGGACCACCAGGCACAGGAGGCCCACCAGGAACAGGAGGTCCACCAGGTAATTCGCAATCAGTTGTCTGACTGCTGCAGCCACAGTCATAAATTGTTTAGTTACATCTCGATTAGATTACTGCAACTCCATTTTATACGGTTGTCCAAAGAAACAAATTGCCAGACTGCAGCACATTCAAAATATTTCGTCCAGATTATTAACTCGGACATCCACAAGCAAACACGTCTCCCAAGTTTTAAAAAGTTTACACTGGCTACCTCTACAAGCCAGAATTTTATTCAAAATTTTAGTTTTTACTCACGATGCTTTTTATGGATTGGCACCAATCTACATCAATGAATTAGTTAGTCACTATGTTCCAATGCGAAATCTGCGGTCTGTAGACCAATTGCTACTCAACCCAGTAAAAATGCAATTAAAAACCTACGGTGACATATCTTTTAAAGCTGCAGGTCCAAAGGAATGGAATCTATTACCGCTGGAAATCCGAGCAATTCAGTCTACCAAACATTTTAAAAAAGAACTCAAAACATACCTTTTTTAGGAAATATTTTGATTAACTCTTAATTGGTTTTATCAATCTTGTATTAATTGCATTTAATTGTATGGAATAATGGCTGTTTTACCTAGATTTTATTTATGATATTTTATGTAGTATTATTTATGATATTTTATGTAAAGTCTACTGAACATTTTAAAAGGATTTTAGACTTAAAATAAATTTATTATTATTAGGCACAGGAGGTCCACCAGGTACAGGAGGTCCACCAGGCACAGGAGGTCCACCAGGTACTGGAGGCCCACCAGGTACAGGAGGTCCACCAGGCACAGGAGGCCCACCAGGAACAGGAGGTCCACCAGGTAATTCGCAATCAGTTGTCTGACTGCTGCAGCCACAGTCATAAATTGTTTAGTTACATCTCGATTAGATAACTGCAACTCCATTTTATACGGTTGTCCAAAGAAACAAATTGCCAGACTGCAGCACATTCAAAATATTTCGTCCAGATTATTAACTCGGACATCCACAAGCAAACACGTCTCCCAAGTTTTAAAAAGTTTACACTGGCTACCTCTACAAGCCAGAATTTTATTCAAAATTTTAGTTTTTACTCACGATGCTTTTTATGGATTGGCACCAATCTACATCAATGAATTAGTTAGTCACTATGTTCCAATGCGAAATCTGCGGTCTGTAGACCAATTGCTACTCAACCCAGTAAAAATGCAATTAAAAACCTACGGTGACATATCTTTTAAAGCTGCAGGTCCAAAGGAATGGAATCTATTACCGCTGGAAATCCGAGCAATTCAGTCTACCAAACATTTTAAAAAAGAACTCAAAACATACCTTTTTTAGGAAATATTTTGATTAACTCTTAATTGGTTTTATCAATCTTGTATTAATTGCATTTAATTGTATGGAATAATGGCTGTTTTACCTAGATTTTATTTATGATATTTTATGTAGTATTATTTATGATATTTTATGTAAAGTCTACTGAACATTTTAAAAGGATTTTAGACTTAAAATAAATTTATTATTATTAGGCACAGGAGGTCCACCAGGCACAGGAGGTCCACCAGGCACAGGAGGTCCACCAGGTACAGGAGGTCCACCAGGTACAGGAGGCCCACCAGGAACAGGAGGTCCACCAGGCACAGGAGGTCCACCAGGTACTGGAGGCCCACCAGGAACAGGAGGTCCACCAGGCACAGGAGGTCCACCAGGCACAGGAGGTCCACCAGGTACAGGAGGTCCACCAGGTACTGGAGGCCCACCAGGAACAGGAGGTCCACCAGGCACAGGAGGTCCACCAGGCACAGGAGGTCCACCAGGCACAGGAGGTCCACCAGGTACAGGAGGTCCACCAGGTACTGGAGGCCCACCAGGAACAGGAGGTCCACCAGGTACAGGAGGCCCACCAGGAACAGGAGGTCCACCAGGCACAGGAGGTCCACCAGGAACAGGAGGTCCACCAGGAACAGGAGGCCCACCAGGCACAGGAGGTCCACCAGGAACAGGAGGTCCACCAGGCACAGGAGGTCCACCAGGCACTGGAGGCCCACCAGGCAAAGGAGGTCCACCAGGAACAGGAGGTCCACCAGGCACAGGAGGTCCACCAGGTACAGGAGGTCCACCAGGAACAGGAGGTCCACCAGGCAGAAGAGGTCCACCAGGGACAGGAGGTCCACCCGGACAGAAGGGAATGAAAGGTTAAATTTACCCATGTTCAATACGAAATATATATTTTATAATTTACCTAGAAAAGCACTCAGAGAGCACAGACCTCCGCCAAGGGAGTAAAGTCTCCATTCAATGTCGTTTCACCCTTAAATTTTTGATATTTTTTTTTATTCTTGATTGATTATTGATCCGGATCACCATCAAAAACTAATCACCTGTTCCTTGGCCCACTTCCCTCAGTTCCTGAAATTTTATCAAAATCGGTCAATAACTCAGTTTTTTTTAAATTTTTTATTATTGATTATTGAGTATTGATCCAGATTACCACCAAAAACTATTCACTTCTAAGTTAACCCATTTCTGACCTACCCTGAAAATGCCATCGAAATCCATCCATAACTTTTTGAGTTATATTGATGACAAACAAACAAACAAACAGGGGTGAAAACATAACCTCCTTGGCGGAGGTAAAAATATTATTTCTTTCAAGTAATAATGATAGTAACTAAAGCCAATGGCTGCAAAAAATGGATTAATTCATTGGGAAGATTTCTTGAAAATTACAGTTTAGGTGTTTTGGCCTATTATTGCATTTGTTTTTACTCATCCCTCTTTTTTAACACTGATGAAAATGATATTTGAACTTGTTTATAGAGTTTTGATATATTTTGTTTAATCAAAGATTTAACCTTTTAAGGAATGAAAGGACTTCCTGGAGGGGGAAAGGGATCTAAGGGAATGAAAGGTAAGACGGTGAACAAGATAGACGATACAAGCTGCCCAAATTACAAACACAATGCAGTTGAATACAAAATTAGAATTCACTTTCTTTAAATGAATTCACTTTCTTCGTATGAGATCTATATTTCACAGTAAAAACATTGCAAACAACTCACAGAAATACATTTTCTATTTTACCACAAAAATGGCAGTTAAAGCAATTATTCTTAAATCTGTGCTCGTCTTCAGACCATGTGACCTCCATACAGGTAGACGGCTATAAAAAACAAACTTTCTAGAAAAAATTTGACTAAATTTGAATGTAGAAATGGATTTATTAACCATTGGTAAGTATGGGAAAATTGTTTACCCCGGGGAAATTCATTATTTGACCAAAATGAACAGTTGTTATCCCTTTAATTATGCATCTGCTTTATTATTCTGTCTTTAAAGCACTTTCCCTTCAAAAGACAAAAGGCTGCGCCGTGCTAGATTTTATTAATAGTTACCACATTGTTCAATAGGATGGACGGTCCGAAGCGTATGAAAATACAGGCAAGCGTGTACACTGATTCTATTGTGAGGAGCGCCGCCGTTGGTAAAAAAGGAGATAATGTGGGTGTATAGAGACATATGTCGAAGACACGTGTTTTCTCCCGTCCTGTAACGTCCATAACGCATGGGCAAAGTGACCATGACTCCTTCTACCGGGTTCACAGATTTTCCCTTGATTTCCACAGATGTGTATCTGGCTTATTCTTGACAATTTTGTCTTATGCCCCGCAAGATTTTTTTACTTGGAATCAATAGCCTTTTGCAGCTAGATGAGTAGATATTGACTTCTTTTGTTTACTGAAGAGCTTGGCATATTTCATCACTCGGCCGGTCTCCGGTATAGAGTAGACCCTAAACACATATAATAAGTAATTTATGGGCAGTGTTGAAGTCAATCAGATGACACACGTTTTGTATCCATCGCATAAAGCACGGAGCGGCAAATTGTCTTTTGACGGGAAAGTGCTTCAAATCTTGATGAAATTTAAGGGTGCATGCTAAATAGCTGTCAGCCGAGCAGACAAGAAAGTTAATTACCCCCTTACAGCTTGTAGTAGGCGGGACGGACATTTAAGCCGGATTATCTGACAGTAATCTAGTGAGACTCCCCGCGGGGATAGATCGATCTAAAAGGACTGGGAATACAGCCTAAGTCACCGAATTAGAGCTATTACCCTATTGGCATCATCATCATCATCATCATCATCATCATAATAATAATAATAATAATAATAATAATAATAATAATAATACGAGTTATATTGCGCATCATACCTAGAATAAAAGATGCATTGAAGACAAATTAAAACTTTCTCACTTCTTTCAAATAAAAAAAAATATTATTTGTCATTTTACTACACTGATTCATTTCATAAAACTTAACCTTTGACTCAGTTCTTAGGAGCAGAAATGAATGATTGATGAAAAAGAATCATTTTACATTCAAGCCATACATGGGCGTTCAGAAAAAAAACTTCTAGTTTTATAGCCCAATATGGGCAGTTAGTGTTATTTGCCTTTTTTTTTAATTCTCCATTCCCCGAATGAGGAAAATGCCAATTGGTATAAGTATTGTTAAGCAATGCAAGAGAAATGTGGAATTAGACTGTGAAAATGTTTAGAATTGACTCTTGATTCTGGAACTGTAGTATACTGTATACCCCCTACATTTTGTCCCAGTCTACCGACTGATATATCAAATATTCGAAATGCACTGCAAACCAGGGGCTAAGCAAGGATCAAATTAAGTGTACGTTACTATATGCATTAAATCTTTCACGTGTTGGCACAGCTGACACGCCGGTGTGACAGAAATGTCACCTTGATTGGTTAGAAAACGATTTTCGTAAAATCTCTACATTATTTAAAAAACGGATGCATAGTCTTTAAAACCACATAAAACGATCTTACAGTGCCATACTAGGCTAACACACACATAAAACATAAAAATCGGTTAACAAATGTCGCTAAATCCC